CCCAAGTGAAACTCACCAGATTTCAGACCTGCTGGTAAAACTGGACGATGTTTGTTTTTTGTAAACCTGTTGCTGGGACAGGGCACTGAACTGGGACTCAGGAGACCTGGATCCTATAGCCAGCTCTGCCCCCTGATCTACTTGTGTGGCCCTTGGGCAGGTCACTTCACAGCACCATGCCTCAGTTTCCCCCTCCACCTTTGTTTTGTCTCTTACTATGTGTTTGTACACATATCTATCACAATGGGGCCACAATCTTGGCTGAGGCCTGTAAGCACTATTGTAATATAAATAATATGAATAAATCTCTTGGGGCCAAAGCCAGCAGAAAGCAGAGTTATGACAATGTTAGCCAAAGTTAAGCAGTGATTAGGAACTTCTAAGTACCTCGATAAATATCAAACCCTAACAAGAAAAAAAAACTGAATAAACTTACCACTATCACACATTTGCTGAAGTCGACCATTGTGTGGGTCTACATAAGCCTGAAACTCAAAATAAATCTCGTGGGGTGTGCCAACCACACGCATCGGGAAGGTTCACTCAGAGGTGTGTAAATCTCACTGAGCGCTCTGGTTGGAAGACTGAAGCCCACTCAGGGCCTGTTTTAATAGCAGGATGATAGTTCAGTGAACAGCAAACAAGACAGGAAAGGGGAGAAAGTGGATACACAGCACGGGAGCCTGGCTAGAAGGTTCTAACTGAACCCAGTTGCCTAGTTGCCCAGCTAGAGACAGACTGGCGGGCTCCTGGCCCGAAGAGGTGCTGAAGGGTGGTGCAGCTAGCAACTGACAGGAAGACTTAGGGCCCTGATTCTGAGCTGTGACCAAGCTGAGCTCAGCACAGCTTTAGTGGGGAAAGAAACCAAGATGTATGTCACTTCATAGCTCATTGGATTCTGACGGCAGCAGGGGCCTGGCCTGATTCATGGCATAAGCTATAGGAACCCCATAGATACTCTAACTTAGGGCTGCCTGCAACAGCTACTACCTGGGACTAGCTAGAGTACAGCGCACTTTATGCCTCCTCCTGTCCCAACGACACATGCCCTTGCACTGATGCTGTGATGAGGAGTGATAGAGCTATTCTGGTGTTGGGATCACCATGTCATGGACGGTGGCTCATCTCTCCTCCTGCCCTCCATCCATCACCTCTAATGTGGCAGAGCCCAGGTCCCTCCCAGCACTCACAGAGGGGTTTCCAGATGCTTGGTGGGGACAATGAGGGAGGTGGATGTGGTACTTCTTTTGGTTTACTTCCTGCTACCAGACAGAGGAAGAGTAACAGGGGGATCACATGCGCAGGATTCAAAAGTTATGAAGAGTGTCATGAAAATTGATTGGTTCCCTCATTTTTAAAAATCCTCTGCCATAACAGAGGAAGAATAAAAGTGTGCTTGAAATTAAAGGACAGCACATTTAGGACAAAAAAAGGAAATTGTGGTCTGCAACATGTCATCAGCATTGAAATTCACTGCTGCAGGTGGTCATCAGAACATCTGCTGTGGCAAGATTTGAAAAGGGATGGGTAATTTTCTGAACGCAAACAGCATGCAGGCTCAGCTAGCAAAGAAATCACATTCTTCAGGGCATACTGTAGTGACCAGCAAGGGATATGTCAGTTATTATCTGCTACTAGACAGGAACATACTAGACTAGAATGGACCAGGGTTCTGAGCTGGTACGGCAAATCCTATGTTCTCTTCGTTTTTGAAGCTGAATACGCTATATTAGACCCCAATTATGCTAAGTGTCTCCATCAGCAGTCCAAAGAGGTCATTTGACCTTGCCAACTCCTTAACTCACTTAACTGTTTATTCTTAGTATTGTTCATCCTGGTATTATTTAATCCAACCTATCAACTGTAGTATGGGCACCGGGAGTCAAGATTGTTAAGCAAAACTGTACTATGCAATCATTTGTTAAGCAACAGTTCTTGTTAATGAATAGTTTAGTGCCTTTGAGCTGTTGTATAGTGATGACCGCTTGTGACCTGCTGTCTGTGGGGGCTTTAGCTGCCCTTGATTTTCACATTCAAAACCTGTCCTCATAAAGGAAAGACCGGGAGGAGGATGGTTTGTATTTGCCTTCCTCTGAATATCCTGTCAAGCAGTTTTCTTTTCAACTAAGAATCCAAACAAACAAGATAACCATAAACACAAATGGAAATCCTGTTTGTTTTCTTTGGCTGCTTCTTCATTCTAAATATAGAATTTGGTGCTGGTGAAAGGGCCCCAGTTGATAGGAATATAAAGTAAAGTCCTCTATTCATCTACAGAATGGGTACAGTCTGGATGGGGCAGTGAAAAGCTTCCTTCACTTTGCTCTGCCAGTGTACCTCAGCCCTGCCTTGAAAAGACCATCTCTAGGGGTCAGAGGGTAGGTTAGGCCCTGTTCCTATTGAAATTAATGACAACCTTCTCACTGACTTCAGTTGTGCAGGATCAGGTTCTTTTGCTGCAAATTTTGCTCTCAGTGCATTGTAAATCTGGAGTAACTCCATGAAAATTGACACGCCATTTTCACCGGTGTGCTCCAGCTGCTTTAAACCATTGCAGCAGCACAAAACAGCTATGAACTAAGCTCAACTGGACAGCTAAGCTGAATTTTCAGGTATTTTACATTACAGGCAGCCAGGGCATACCACTGAATCTAGCCAAATGGACTAACTGATGATTTACACTAGCATAACTGAGAGCAGGATTTGACCCCGTGGACCTAATTCCACAGTTGTGTTCCCTTTGGGTAGCCTTTTATACCTATGTAAGACGTTCCCTTGGAATACTCAAGCCACTGGGTGCTCAGACAATTTGGGTGTGACCATTTGCCATCTTGGAAAATCCCCATGGCATTCAACTACCATTTGAGCCCCCAGAGGGGTCAAAAAATTATTTGCACCTGCCCAAGCCTTTGAAACACCTGGCTTTGCCTTCTGTGCTGGGGCTGTGGGTAAAGTGGTCAGTTACTGTAAACCGTTTTTGCATTTGATTTTCACAGTCAAAAAAATCTATATTCACAAAGAAAACACTAGGCAGGGGGAGTGTGTTCATCATTGCTTTTGATCTCCTCTGAGAGAGATGTTTCCATAGGATCCAGAACTCAGGCAAATAGGGTAACGCTGCAACAGTGGAAAGCCTAAGGCTAAGGTTCACGTGGGTTCTTTTGCTGATGTCCTTGCTCACAATCAAATTTGCAAGAGATAAATACAATGGCCAGATTTTTGCCTTGTTACAAATGTGCTGTAGCTTTGCTCCATTTTCTCTCTTGCTTACTGCTGTTTTGTTGGTGAGAAGATAACTTCCAGAATATCAGCTCTCACCTTGAAGTCTGATCAAAGCATATCCCCTGGTTTTTAAAAAGAAATGGGAGATGGAGGTAGCTCTTTCGTCCAGGAACAGTTTATTTTCGTTGGAATGGTTTTGCCTATTGTAACCCAGGCGCACTCCAGTGTTCTGAAGCTTTGCCAGGTCTGATAGGTTTCCTTGACGTTACTGTAGCCGACAAGGCTAAGCACAGCTGTCTGGTGCCTGCGATTCTTAGGAGCCCTGCAGGATCTGAACAAGTCAAATAAACTGAACTTAGACATAATCGGGCCAAGGGTTTCTTCAGCCAAATCCAGTGCAAATAGGCAAGAATCAAAGTAGACACAACGGGTCAAATTAATCCCTCGTGTAACTCTGTTAACTTTAGTGAAGTTATATCAGGAATGTATTTGCTGCAGTTTGTCCTCTAAATGAATCTAAATTGTAGGGGCAGGCTAAGTAAACCAGAACCTGAGGCTCAGCCCTCAGATTTGTCTTATTTTAATATATTTAAGAATATATTAAGATCATTGAGGAAGGTCTTTTTTTTTTTAAATTGGAAGAACATTTTGATAAATTACCAAGTTTTAGAGGCAAGTGGATCCAGAGCAGCTGGGTCAAGAGCTAGACGTGCATTCCAGATGCCTACAGCTGTCCTAGCTGTGCATAAGAGAGAGACATGTGGGCAGATCTTGATAAATTGATGCAGAATATTTAGAACCCTGAAGCCATGGTGCTACCACAGCCTGCCTAGTGTTTAAAGATTGTGGGACTGATTTTTCCTTTGTGTAAGCTGCTTGGGTGAGGGACCATCTTTTTGTTCTGTGTTTGTACAGCCCTGAGCACAATGGAGTCCTCATCCATGACTAGTGCTCCCAAGCACTACTGTAATACAAATAAATAATAATAATAGGCATTGTGCTAAAACCTTGTCAAAATTCTCTACGCACATCCATGGTAGCATTTTGCACCATCTTTGCATAGGTGTAAATGACTTACACAATGTGCAAAGTAAATGGTGAAGCAGGTTCTCTGGCTCCCAGTTGTATTTTCTGTTATAGTGAAGGTGCATTCTGGATTGGGGATGCCATTTGGAATGTAGATCATGGCCATGGTGCACAGGCTCAAGGTTCATGAGATGACATCTCATGTGGTATCTAACTGTTCTACTGTTGAGTCAGATTCTGCTCCCAGTTACACAGATACAAATTGCGAGTAACTCCATTGGGGCAGATTCATCACTATGCTCTGGCTGCTTTGTGCCTTTGCATCAAAGGCTCTTACCCCAAAAGTCCCCCCTTAGCTGCAGTGCCTGGATTACATGCATGAGTGTTGTGCACTGTACTGAGAGCAAAATATGATTCAATGATTTTGCTTCCTTTATCACACGAGGCACAATTCTCCCCAAGGGCCGGATATGCCAATTAGAAGCATTATAGAAATGGTACGCTCACCCTGAATGAAAGGCGAAGGCATCAGATTCAGGAGAGCATGGCAACTGCAGTTGCATATCAGGAAATGACATTAAAAGAGGACAAATGGCAAATCAGGCAAGTTTAGGAAACCTTTCAATCAGCATGTTCTTATTTTATTTTCAAGTTTACCAGCTTATAATCAATCACTCAGACATGATTATTTAATGGCACTAGAGAACCCTAACATTAAATATAATACTTGAGTAGTGTTTTGGGGGTGCTTACAAAACATGGAAATGTCTGACTATGAAAAGTATGTGTGGTGGTTTGCATAGCAAACCTTTCATCTCTCATGCAGCCTTTCTCCTATGTCCTCTCTCTAGCTTCATAAAATGAATGTGCCGAATGAGAGGTAGGTCCATGCAACACAAATACTTTTGTCAATATATAGCCAGTGGTGAGCTGGAGCCGGTTCGCACGAACCAGTTGTTAAATTTTGACCCAGTTTTACAACCGGTTGTTAAAAGTTGTTACGGCTCCCTGAGCTCCCAGCCGGCCCCTCCCCTGCCTCCCCCCTCTCGCAGAGCCTCAGCGTGCCGTGCTGCTGGCACCAGCGTTCTGGACCGCTCCTGGGCAGCTCTGCAGCGCCTGCCGCTTTGAGCGGCATGGTCAGGGGGTGGGGCTGCGAGCTCCAGCGGGCCGCGCGGCATCCATACATGCTGCCCTGAGCGGCATGGTAAGGGGGCCGGGCCGGCGCTGGGAGGAGGGGTTGGATAAGGGGCAGAGAGCGGTTGGAGGGGGCGGAGGTTCTGGGGGGCGGTCACGGGACAGGGAACGGGGGGGAGAGGTTGGATAGGCGTGGGAGTTCCGGGGGCGGGGTCTGTCGGGCAGGGCCGGTGCAACAACTAGGCGGACTAGGTGGCCACCTAGGGCACCAAGTGCTTGGAGGTGCCAAAAAGCGGTGCCCCCCCAATTTTTTTTAAACAGCGGAGCACAAGGCTGCTGCTGCTCCCAGCCTCCCGACTCCAGAGGGGCCACCTGCGGCGTGGCCAGTCCCTCCCCCCAGGGGAGCAGCCGGTGGTGGAGTGGGGAAGGGGAGGGTCAGGTAATGGCAGCTGTGCTTTCTTCCCTGCACCTTGGGCCGAGTCGAGCTCCCCGTTGCCCCTGGGGCTCTCAGCAGCGGCTGCTGCCACCGCCACTGAGAGCCCCCGGGGCGGTGGGGAGCTCGTTTCGGGCACAGTGGGGCTGGATGGCTGCACGGCTGTTGAGAGCCCCGGGGGCAGCAGGGAGCCCAGTTCGGGTGCAGTGGGGCTGGCTGCCTGCACCACCGCGGGGAGCCCGGCTCGCCCTGTGGCGCGGGGAAGACGGCGCAGCTGCGCTCTGCTCTTCATGCGGAGAAGCTGGGTGTCTACTCCGCCTGCAAGGTACCTAGCCAGGCTGCGGGGAGCCGCAGGGGCCCGCGGAGCGCCAGAGGATGGGCAGGTCCAGTCCCTGGCCTGGGAAATGGTATATGTGGGAGCAACCCGGGCACCCCGCCCCCAGCCAGTGCCACCCCCTCCAACACCCACCAACCACCTACCTTCTCCCCTGTGCACCCCCTGCCCCAACAACCCACCCTGTCCTGCCACTTTTGCCTCTTGGCAACCTCCACCCAGCAACCCCCTCCCCCCGCCCACCCCCCGCCAGCCACGGTCACCTTCACCCCTGCACCAACCTCGGGATCCCCATCCTGCCTGCCGTCTCCCTCCTGCCCACTCCTCCCTTGTGCAAACCCCTCCCTGCCACCTTCACCCCCCTGCAACAACCCTGGGCACATACACCCCTCTGCCTGCCAGCCCCTTGCAACAATCCCCTCCTGCCCACTTCTCCCTTGTGCCATTCCCTCCCTGCCACTGCACCTCCTGCAACGTGCCCCTTTGGCCTCTGTGCAATCTCTTCCCTGCCACTACACCCCCGCCCCCTCCACCTCTTGGCACATCCCTTAAATCAGAACTTTTTATAGGGAATCGGTTGTTAAGATTTTGGCAGCTCATTACTGTATATAGCCGCAAAAATATCAGTGCTGGCAGCGTGCACACCTCCTTGAAAGCTCTCTGGTGGCTTGTGGGTCTCTCAGTCAGGGAGTGAAAACAACACCATGTGATTTAAGTGGCCAATAACATGGCATGAATAGCAAATTACAAACAATGAGTACGCAAAGCAATAATCATAGCAAATAACTGGCAAGAAATCCACACGATAAAACATGTTTGCACAAACCACTTGGCAAATAATAGTAAAAAATGCAAAAAGGACAGGCTAAATTCCTCAGCAAAACTGTACCCTGTATATAGCTCTCACCAACCTCTAGTCGTAAACAACATTGCAGCCTGGTTCTGGTCTCTCTCTCTCTCTCTCACACACACACACACACACACACGTGTTCCAGATAAACATCATATTCATAGTGAATATTGCAATTTCTGTTGACAATTCATGTCTGCTTTGATTGCCATTCTACTCACTTTCCAGAGTCTGGTGTGTTTATTAGAAAATACCACAGCTACTCTTTGAAGGGCCACATGATGTTTCTAGACAAGTGCTTTTTTTGTTAAAACATATAAATAAACATATACTTCTAAAGTATATATCTATATTATAGTAGGCACTTGAGGTTTATTTTCCCAAGACTGATCGTGTGCCCAAATAAAGTCTACCCCAATAACTGCCAGCTGTTTATTTATTTTTTTAAATAAATGCTGTTCCCTTGCTGGAAACCCAGGAGGAATATTACACTCTGAGGCATGTTCTCTTGTGTAGGAAGGGGTCCATGTTTGCTCAACTGTGGCAAGAAAAAATCCAACTGTAAAAAATTTTCTGCGATGGCCAAAGAAAATTATTTAACAAATATAATGGACCACATTCATCACTCCTGTAACACCACTGAAGCTAATGCAGTTCCACCTTCTTGTACCGAGGGTGAACTTTTCCCTGTACATTAATATAAATAAATAGAGCATACACAGTTAGTCTAGATAGGCTGAAATTACAAAAGCTATCAATCCTCATGCTTCAGGGCATAATCTGATTACCAGATGAGGTCAACTAGAAATTTCCCCTACTGGTATAATATTGCATAATTAGATTCATTATGGGTATTTTATGCCTTTCTCCAAAGCATCCTGCATTAGCCACTAGATGGACCATTGCTCTGTTCAGCTATGGCAATTACTATGTTTCTAATCCACAAAGCAGTTGGCAGTGGACAGCATAGTTCCTGTTTTATGCATCACTCAGGCAGCCATGAACCAGATGGAAATGGGCCTGTAGCCCAGCTCTTTCACAAATGGCTGCTGCTACCTGCGAGTGACACTTCAGCCAGGACACAGGGAAGGAGCAGAGGAGGAGGAGGAGGTTTACTGCCAAAATGAGAAAGTCTCTGGAATCATTTTCTTTATAGTGGCATAAATGGAAAGACACATCATTTAACCTGTAACTCAAGTGACAGCAATACATAGCGGCTTTAAAGCGTGAAACTGAAGTCTATAGACAAGAGTAGATATTCCCTAACTGGTCTGGGGACTATTGATGGGTGGAAGGGAGCTGGACAGGCATATGGTATGGTCTCTTCTTTTTTCCCAGATGGGGGAAGGGGAAATGAAATGAAGAGTGAAAGTAGATTGTGTGATCAACTGTATTCAATGCACTAAAGACAGCAAAATGACATAACTATTTCCCTAATATCACTTTTCCATGTAAACAAATGTTGCATTTGCTCAGGGATATTTATGTGATCACCAATGGGAGTGAAGAGGGGTAGCGGGATGCCAGACAATTGTGAACTTGGGGGGGGGGGGAGGGGATGACTGTGCACAAGATAATCTCACCATTAAGAGGTGGGCTGGAAAAATGAGACACTTATCCCCTAACTTGTTGAGTCACAGTTCTAGGTTTATGGCCTATTCTGCACCCATTGCCCTCCCATTGGGAAGATCTCCCAGTTCAACAACACACAGACCTGACATGGCATAACGCTGTTCTTTTGGCTGCTTGACTGGAAAGCGGGAAACTTTGGGACTGTGTGCCTCCCTGGGAGCTGGCCCATTGAACTGAGCTGTATTTTCACTCTGTCTGAAGCAGGGATGGCTGCCAAGTAGTATCCTGCCACCTCTTTATATGGAAAATACTAGGGCGAGGTCAGAGATAAAAATAGTCACCGGGGTTCACCTTTACATGAAGACCCCCTTTATACCAGGCTGGTGGAGTAGGGGCTGTGAAGGGTCCTTAGCGTACATGAGAATCACCCCCCCCCCAGGGAGCTTAGCAATTGGAATGTGGGCGTTACTCATTAAAAAGAAGTTCTTGGTAGATAAACATATTGGTCATGAGTCATTTTTACAGGCTACCTCAACTAACATTGAAATAAATATTTGTTTGGATTCCATCTGTTGCTTCTGTTTATCAGTGCAGAGGAACTCAGCTCCCAGTAGTTCTTCTGTCACCTTATGTCAATTGCCACCTACGGAAGTTAGAACCATGCTGCTGGAGTACCTCTGATTTCCCTCAGATATAAAGCTGGTATCTCTGTCAATGTTTCTGGGTGGTTTTGTGGCATTACCTTTAAGGGCCTGATTCTCATTTACACTAACTCCACTTTCCGACATGCTGGCAGTTGAAAGGGGCCTTCGATTGGACATAACTGTAATTCACCTCCGCTATAAGAGCGGTATAACGTGGCCCCCGTGTAAATGAGAATCAGACCTAAGACTTTAGTGTCAGTTTTACTAGCATACCCTATACGTCGCAGATGAAAAGGAGAGAGAAAGGCATTAGCTTTAACACAAGATACTCATTTTGAAATTGTTTCTTAGGGTACCAATTTCCTCTCGTGGAGCATAAGGACATTCAGGAAGCTCCTGCCAGCATAACTAGAATGCTTTGGATGGAAGGAGAAGCAAAACATGTTCATCATGGGGCAATTTCTGCCTTCGCCTCTTCATGTGCACGGGACCGAACATGCAGCTAGCCCAGTGTCGTTTCCCCGAATGGGGTGACGAGGAGTTAGGAGTTCACTGAATACACACCTTCTGTAAAGCCCAGAGCTCAAACCCAGAGAGGGTCTCTGCTTGCTGTCATGTAAGTGGATTTCAGGATGGAGGTCTAAAAATCTGCCACTATGCACAACCCCCATAGGGAAGAAGAGCCAGAGGGAGATGGTGAAAGGGCTGCATCGCCATGGGGCTGGATTTGTAGCTACAAAGCTATTCTGTGGCCTGGGGGAAGATTCCACAGCTCCATGCGTTTGTGAAGATCTCCAGCCCTGGCAAGAGGGTAGGGGTTTGTGAGCACAAGTTATGCTGCCACCACACTCTTCCTGTAACAAATCTTAACCAGGAGCAATAAGAAGTGACTCACAGGATTTCATTGTATTGTTTAAAGTGAATCTAGTTCCCATGGAAGATGCCAGATCCACAGCTCTGGAGACTCAAGGCTTGTATTTCTCCACAGGAAAAGTACAGCGGGGTGTTGGAAGTGCTGGCTTCCCCCATACTGTCCTCGCAGCGGGCCTCCATCTGAACGGAAAGGGGACCACCTATAAGGAGGCAGAAGTCTCCGTTTCCATGAGCTCACAGCAGAGAGTATAGCACTTCATCCAATTTCTGATTTAAAGCGTGAGCCATTTTCCAAACGCTCTCTTGCCAGGTATATAAAAATAAAAAGAATTTAAATGTGATTTAAAAAAAAAAATGTAGTTTAAAAAATGATTCTGGAACCATCCAACTTTAGATGTGGTTTAAAAAAACAATACATTTATAACCCTGCTCCTGGTGAGGTGTAAATTTCCCACCCACAATCCACATCACAGACAGGATGCCAGCTGGTTGAAAGGGTTGTGTATTTATTGTCACCATTGCACAATTATCATGGTAGTTTAGTTTTTTCCACAGAGCTAACTCTGATTGGTATAATTTTTAATTCTGCCTTTGCCTTTTTATGTTTCAGATCAACTGTGCATTTCATCAGCCTCTTGCCCACCAGCAATCATGAAATATGAGACATTGTGGGAAAGCAAAGTCGTAGAAAGAGTGTCTTGCTCCAGACTCCCCAGCCCAGCTGCTCTCCAGGCAGCTTTTGTGATGCTAGGGACAGTAAACATCAGCCTGAAAAAATCAGAGAGTTTGGGCATTTTGGCTTCCAGCCATTGGACAACTTCTTATTTTTACTGATGCATGGCTATGAAAATTAAAGGGCCCTTTAGTGTTAATATCTTTGGAAGCTGCTATGTGATATATCTGGAATCAGTCCACGATGTTCCTACCTGCTCTGCATCCTATGCTATAAGCAATCAAAGCAGTTCTCTTCCTCCTCTATGCCTCAATCTACACCAATTTTAATCAATTTTAATTTCTCCTTCCATTAAATTGGCCTGTCCAACCAGACTCACAAATAACGCAACAACGTTGAGTTTCGGGAGCCCTGTGTTGACTGGAGTAACTAGATATATCTCTTCACAGCTAGAGTGGTGGATATGGCACAAGTATTTGTTCTTAACTGCACTGCAGGGAATTAATTTATTTATGTATATTCCATTTACAGGCATGCCACACATCAGGCTTTCACTCTGTCAGTTTGTATAACAGGATCAGAAGTGGCAGAGAGAAGGCAACACTCATTTCTGAGCATTTTTCGTTTGTTTATTTCTCCAGTAACTTAGTTAAAGACATAGCAGACTTTAACTGTCAATGAGCCAAACTCATCCCTGGAGTAACTATTGACTTCAGGGGGCTTATAGCAAGAATGAATTTCTTACCTACCTGACAACTCCTGCTCTGTTTCCACTTCTACAGTCTATCCTTAGCCTCCACATTCTTAGTTCTTCTCTGAGGTCTTATGTTAATTCTCTCCGTTGTGCTCAGGGCTACACTTAAGGAATCCAAAGACTGGCAGAAAAATGCAACCTTGGCATCACTGGCAGATTGCCACACCAATTAATATCACTCTAGGAGTTCAGATACCATGGTGATGGGTGTGGTATAAGAACCTGAACAGAATACCATGAATTGACTGTACTACAGATATGCTGTGGATAGCAGGTATATTTCTAAGTGAGTGTTCTGAGTGGACAGACATGCAGTATTCTGAACATATTTTTAATTATAAAGGATTAAATTCGCCCCATGTGCATAGGTCCAGTGAAAGTTAAGTAGGATTTCAGTGGTGCTGAAGCTGTCAACATATGGAGGTTTAGATTTGATTCCTGACCCTGCTTCAGACTTCCTGTGGGGCCTTGGGCAAGTCACTTAATCTCTCTGTGCCTTTGTTCCCCAACTGGAGGATAATACGACTTTGTTTCACCCACCCTTTGACTGAAATTCATATTGTAAGTTCTCCAGGGCAGAAGCTGTCTCCTACTGTTGCAGTTACTGTGCCTTGTACAAGGGGCTCTGATGTCATTTGGGCCTCTATGTGCTACTGTAACACAAATAATAATTAATAAGAACCACCTGACTAGTTCAGAACATCAAGTCTGACTTCATCTGCTATTATAATGATGAAAGATATTATCAGACTCCATAAGCACACCAAATAGCTTTCTGGCTCTGGTGCACAGTAGAGGTAAAACATACTGACTGAAGTGCTCCAGTCATTTCTGTGTGAGCAAAATGAAGCATCCACTCTCTGACTTACATCAACAAGAATCGTTCATGTATGTATGGAAGCCTTCTGTATGTACAGTAGCAAATGGAATAGACCAGTTTGCTGTGATCAGGATTTCTCTGCCAAAACAGTTATTCTTGTGTCTTTCCACACCTTAGGAACACATATATGAGAGCAATACAGTGAGTCTACCCATGGAATAATCATCTGTTGGCGTGAAAGGCCTATCAAGACTAATGGAAGCCATACACAGAATGTTAAGTAGAGTTCGGTACAATTTATCAAGGGCTATCTGACCTGTCCGGTCCTCTATCTGTTTCTCAAAAATGGCCTGGACAGTCCTTCCTCTCTGCCACTGTCCTGTTCTACAATATTAGTGTTACACATGTCAAAAGTCTACGTGCAAAGTTGGAACAACAATTAAGCAATCCCTCAGCTGAGCTCGTCTTGAGTTGTTCTTTCATAGGGATCCTTTCTTATTACATTTGCTATTGCCCAGTTTTTAAAAAATGGCTTTGGAGGGAGTGGGGTTATTCAGCCTGTAGTCAGGAAAGAGCTGGCTCAAGCTACCCTAGAGCTTCCCTTTCCATTTCCCCAAATACAAGGTCATCAAGAAGGCAAAGAAGATTCATGGAATGTTATGCACTGAAAATGAAGTTATTAGCATACAGTGATGTGTTCAGTATTCCTTAGAAAGCTGTTGTATAGCCATTCCTTTGTGTATTCTTGTCTTCCTTGGAAACTTGGACTTTGTAAAACCCAGATACTACTTAAATATATCACACATTATGTTTCTCTGACTAAAGTACATTGAACTAAATGAAATTCAGTTTAAATTAGAAAGCCCTGTTGTGAAGTTCAGATCTGGGTCCAAATCTGAACTGCCCTGGGACTGTCCAGCTCTAGTTAGCTATTTAGCCCAATGTATTTTATACCACCTTTAACTATGGTTGATCTGAGTTTGGGTTCTGGCCCATAGCTACTTATAATAGACCTGATCCAAAGTTCATTAAAAATCAATGAAAGTCTTTCCATTGGCATCAGTGGTCTTTGGATTAGGTCCCATCTATCCTATACAGAATGTCCATAATTAAGATTTTAAAAAATATCTCACCAACTGCTGAAGTTTCAGATCCACCACTAATCCTTCTTGTCTTCCAAGACTTGCTTTGATTTATGTTAAGGTGTTTGATAAACTCATCTGACTGGCTTCCTTTCCTTTGCCTATATTTTATAAATATACCCTTTAGTTTACCCCACAGTGTAGTTTTTTGCAGGAGTAATCTGCTTGTCCTGAATTATTAAATCAGCCAGATTCTGTTTCCAATATTCTAATACTTGTCCAGAATCTAAATGGAGCTTAGCCAAATCTAATGCTTTTAGTACTGAGTTAGCACCCCCACCCTTTTTTTTTTTTTTTGGCAACATGGAGCCAAAAGATTAAGTACTGGTTGGGCAATTAAAACTGGAAGATTAACAGCACAGCTTTAAAATGTGTGTCCCTTCCCTGAACATCACATCCTAGTTCCTCATGGTCGGGAAAGAAATCGTATGACTCACCAGCAGCATCTCTAAGTTAGAATTTCTTTCATGCCATCAACCCCATTTTAAAAATGAAGACTATAGTTGATCTTGTCTCCTGCAGCCAGGATTTTAATTCTATAAAGGGGGTCTGAGGTAATGTATAAACTATTGCTATTCACAGAATCATAGGACTGGAAGAGACCTTGAGAGGTCATCTAGTCCAGTCCCCTGTACTTATGGCAGGACTAAGTATTACCTAGACCATCCCTGACAGGTGTTTGTCTAACCTGCTCTTAAAAATCTCCAATTATGGAGATTTCACAACCTCCCTAGGCAATTTATTCCAGTGCTTAACCACCCTGACAGGAAGATTTTTCTGATGTCCAACCTAAACCTCCCTTGCTGCAATTTAAGCCCATTGCTTCTTGTCCTACGGTCAGAGGTTAAGAAATTTTTTTTTTCTCCCTTCTCCTTGTAACAACCTTTTATGTACTTGAAAATTGTTATCATGTCTCCTCTCAGTCTTCTCTTCTCCAGACTAATCAAACCCCATTTTTTCAATCTTCCCTCATAGGTCATGTTTTCTAGACCTTTAATCATTTTTGTTGCTCTTCTCTGGACTCTCCAGTTTGTCTACATCCTTCCTGAAATGTGGCGCCCAGAACAGGACACAATACACCAGTTGAGGCCTAATCAGTGTGGAGTAGAGCAGAAGAATTACTTCTCAGGTCTTGTTTATAACACTCCTGCTAATACACCCCAGAATGATGTTCACGTTTTTTGCAACAGCGTTACACTGTTGACTCATATTTAGCTTGTGGTCCACTATGACCCCCAGATCTCTTTCTGCAGTACTCCTTCCTAGGCAGTCATTTCCCATTTTGTATGTGTGTAACTGATCGTTCCTTTCTAAGTGGAGTACTTTGAAATTCAATATGGACAAATGCTTTCTATTTACTTCAGACCATTTCTCCAGTTTGTCCAGAACATTTTGAATTGTAATCCTATCCTCCAAAGCACTTGCAACCCCTCCTAGCTTGGTATCATCTGCAAACTTTATAAGTGTACTCTCTATGCCATTATCGAAATAATTGATGAAGATATTGAACAGAACCGGACTCAGACCTGATCCCTGTGGGACCCGACTCATTATGCCCTTCCAGCATGACTGTGAATCTGGACCTTTAAGCCCAATTCTCAATTTAAGCATAGTCACAACTCTTACTGACTTCAGGGGGAGCTGCACCTCATGTCTACGGGCTACACTGGGCCCACACTAACTGAAAAGATATAGTCCTTGACCCAAGGAGCTTACAGTCTAAGGATCAGATCCTTCTTGCCTGACTCACAGTAGGATCAACTGACATCATTGAGAGTAATCATCTGTGAAAGCCGATCAGGGTTAACAAAACAAATAACAAAAGCGTAGGCTGAGCTGGGGGAAAAGAAGGTGGTAAAAGACAACATTAAAAGATCTAAGGGAATAGATCAGTAAGGCGCACATTGTTTTACACTTAGCTCATATAAGCTATTGTGCCTTTTTGGTCGGGAACCTCCAAACCCTCTCTCACTTGAGCCGTGGTTACTCACATAAGTAGCTCCGCTGAAGTGAAGGACTCTAGCCAAGGGCTAGATCATCCATTTGAATTCTAGTCCATAGCAAGGGGCAGCGTGCGTACTGCTGCGCCACTCCTAAAGCATCTTGGGAACCACCACCATCTCCTTCCACAGAGTATGCCCCCTAAGACACACTGGTGTAACTACACTGCCAGACTCATGGGGGGTGGACAGCTTAGCGTCCATCCTGCCAGGCTCCTGGGGGATGCACAGCCTAGGGTCTGTCCTCTCCCACTTCTTCCCACCCACCTGTGTGAGGTAGAGGTTTTGCTTTCCTTTGCAAGCTGGAAGTGGTGGTGTAGAGCTCCGGGGTAAGGGGTTGTGTTATATGTCCTCCACCCCACTATGCCAGTGTGCAGGGTGGGCCCTAACCTGACCCCAAATAAGGAAGAGTTTGCAGGATACTTGGTTTGCTAAGATATTGTTTTGTTTTCTTTAATAATTTCTGCGTGAAAAAATGTGTGTTTTGCCCATTTACTACTAAATGACTGGATTTTTTTTAATTCCACCCCTTTCTTGTCCCAGTTTTACAGCCATTACCTAAGTAATGTAATCCTGCTACACACACCGCACAACCACTCAGGAGAGAGGATCTGTAAATACAAAAAGCCCAGGAGAAATAGGATTTGAAGAAAACCATTTACTCATGACATATATGGTAGTACCCTGGCAGGATGAGATCACATACTGGAAAACAAATAAATATAGACCTGCCCATTTGAAACAAATATATTATACACACATAGTTTCAGATGGGTATAAATATGACATGGTTTATGCTATGGGACGTATGTCTATAGGGCGGATATGATCTCATATATTGACTCATGCAGTATATGAACTAGTTTGGAAATGGCTCCTTCCATTCAGTACTGTCCACACACATATGTGCCAGATGAAAATAAATGACATTATCTACGCACATGAAATACACGTGGATTTCCACATGAGTCGGCTCAAACCAGAACCTTGATCTGACACCCCTTGCACTTTAGGAACATTCCCCAACATTTCATGGGCTGACCCATCTCTGTTATAAAGCACAGGCAGGCAGCTAGTCAGACTGCGGAACATTTCTAACCTTATACATGTGCACACACAGGGTGCCTCATGCTGTGGAACTAATTGCTCTTAGACTGTTCCATTTTAAGATAACACCAAAGGAAATGCAACATTCTTCCTTGATTCTTAAAAATATCTGATTTCGAGCATTATGTTTATTTTTTCAGAGCGTTAGAATACATTCATGTTTCTCCTGAGGAGTGTCACCTCCACAGTTTGTTCAGGATAAAAACGGTTTTGGTTTGCACTCTTGTAGTCTGAACCAGCACAGCTAATGAGAAATTCTAATGAATAAAATGAAAGTAACCCTCCAGGCACCTTTATAGCAAACACTGCCAGTACCATCTAGAAAACGGTGCTCAATGAGAGGGATCAAATAGCGGCGCACACACTATATAGCAACGCAGATGTTCTATGGGAGCTGACTTTGCCATAAAAGCCACACAAGCCTTTTTTTAGATCAATTATATTTCAAGTTGATATTTCAGAGTAACAGCCATGTTAGTCTGTCTTTGCAAAAAGAAAAGGAGTACTTGTGGCACCTTAGAGACTAACCAATTTATTTGAGCATGAGCTTTCGTGAGCTACAGCTCACTTCATCGGATGATGAAGTGCATCGGTGCATTCGATGAAGTGAGCTGTAGCTTACGAAAGCTCATGCTCAAATAAATTGGTTAGTCTCTAAGGTGCCACAAGTACTCCTTTTCTTTTTGCAAGTTGATATTGTAGTTTACAATGAAAGGAATTCAATATATTGTCATGCCTCAATGCAGGGAGAAACACAACAGAGTCTGGATTCAATCAAGAATTGTGGCAGCATATTCACAGTGTACTGGATCTGTCTTTTCCCTTTTTTTAATACTGTCACAAGTCTGTCCTGGTTATGCACTTGTATAAGGTTAGAAATATTTTGCAGTCTGACTTGCTGCCTGTAAGTGCTATATGACAGAGATGGGTCAGACCCTGAAATCTTTAGGGCGGGGGATCGTTTCAAAAGTGCAACGGGCTTTGGATCAGGGTTCTGTTTGGAACTGACTCCTGGAAATTCAGCTTTAATGTTAATTTACAGCACTAACATTCAAGTCCATGTGTGACAGACTCTCTTCAGTGCCTTTTCCTTGCAAAGCATGCAAGATAGGAGGGTACAGTGCTCACCTTGAAATCTTCCCTGTTTTGAGATTGCTAGCAGCAGATGTGGTGTTGGAGGGAAGACAGTAACTACTATGGCAATTTTCAGAGTAGCAGCCGTGTTAGTCTGTATTCGCAAAAAGAAAAGGAGTACTTGTGGCACCTTAGAGACTAACCAGTTTATTTGAGCATAAGCTTTCGTGAGCTACAGCTCACTTCATCGGATGCATTCAGTGGAAAAAAAAAAAAAGCGTTAGTCTCTAAGGTGCCACAAGTACTCCTTTTCTTTTTACTATGGCAATGTTAATTTTGTAAAGATGTCAATTTTAGGTTCTATTATTTAGGGCTTTGGAAGATAATAAACAAGCCATCTAATTAATAATAATCTAATGGCAAACACTGCACAAGTTTTTTAATGCACTGTCTTGAATAGGGAACTCTCCACACTGCTCTCAGTTCAGCACAGTGTTTGAGAGCCATGCCAAAACAGTGGCCACCATTAAATGTTTAAAAGCACCTCATGCACCTTGCCTCCTGGAGTTCCCTGATGCACAGGAAGAGTATGGCTGCTGTTACACTCCGTTAGGTGAATGACTAGCAGTCAGAATATGGGACTATGGTCTCACCACTTGTCCCTCCTCACTCCTTTTAAGGTAGCTG